GCGGCTGTTGAAGAGCTTAAGCTCATAGAGCTCACACCTGGAGATGATTCCAAACTCTTACGCATCGGATCCGATTCAGATCCTGAGATGGAGAAGCAATTAGTCAAATTCTTACGGCACAATGGAGACGTGTTCGCTTGGAAAGCTCAAGATTTGTCAGGCATCCCCCCTCATGTAGCTCTACATCGGTTTAACGTCGACAAAAGGTTGAAGCCAATCAAGCAAAGGAAACGAACATTTGGACCCGAACGCAACAAGCACATCAAGGCAGAAGTGGCAAAACTCCTTGAAGCGGGCCACATACGACCAGTTCAGTATCCTGAATGGCTGTCGAACGTAGTACTCGTTCCCAAGCCGGGTGGCAAGTGGAGATTATGCGTAGACTTCACTGAACTCAACAAAGCCTGTCCTAAGGACCCATTTCCTCTACCCAGAATCGATCAGCTCATCGATTCGACCTCGGGGTGCGAACTCCTCAGCTTCCTCAATGCATACCAAGGGTATAACCAGATCTTACTTGCACCAGAAGATCAAGAGAGGGCTAGTTTCATCACTGACCAAGGCATCTACTGCTATCAAGTGATGCCCTTTGGGTTAAAAAACGCAGGAGCCACCTACCAGCGTCTAGTGAACAAAATGTTCGCAGATCAGATCGGTAAAAATATGGAGGTGTACATCGACGACATGCTCGTCAAAAGTGTCAAGGTCTCGGACCACCTAACTGATCCGGATCAGTGTTTTGCCACCCTGCGAAAATATAAGATGAAGCTCAACCCCTCAAATGTTCATTCGGAGTTAGGGGAGGCAAATTTTTGGGTTATATGATTTCGCAGCGAGGAATCGAAGCTAATCCCGTGAAAATCGAAGCAATCATCTCCATGGCTCCGCCAACATCGATCAAGAAAGTTCAACAACTCAACGGCTGTGTGGCATCCCTGAATAGATTCATTTCAAGATCAGCGGACAAGGCTCTCCCATTTTTCAAGATTTTAAAGGGAGGAAAAAAGTTCGAGTGGGATGAGGCATGTCAAAAAGCCTTCACTGAGCTAAAGTCATACCTCGCATCACCACCCTTGCTTACAAAACCTCAGCCAGGAGACACCCTCATGCTGTACTTAGCTACCTCGGCTGATGCCATCAGCGCGGTCCTCATCCGAGATGGAGGAAAAGGTCACCAACCCATATACTACATAAGTCGCGCTCTTCAAGGAGCCGAGCAACGCTATACCAATATGGAGAAGCTCGCTCTCGCCCTCATCAACGCAGCCCGGAAGCTTCGACCTTACTTCCAGTCACATCAAGTGGTGGTTCTCACCAATTATCCACTGAAGCAAATACTAAGGAGTCCCGAAATGTCCGGACGATTAGCAAAATGGGCAATAGAGCTAAGTGAATACGGAGTGGAATTCGAACCCCGCCCAGCTATCAAAGCGCAAATATTGGCTGACTTTCTAGTCGAAATGACCACAGTAGAAGAAAGCACCTCTCTACCTACTTGGTCCGTCAGCGTCGATGGATCTTCCACTGCCACAGGAGGTGGAGCGGGCATCGTACTAACGAACCCCGACGGAGACGAATTCGAGTATGCTCAACGCTTCGAATTCACAGCCTCGAACAACGTCGCTGAGTACGAAGCACTGATAGCGGGAATCCGCCTCGCCCTAGCAGCCGGAGCGCGCAAGCTCCTAATCCAAAGCGACTCTCAGCTCGTCGTCAACCAAGTACTTGGAGCTTACGAGGCTAAAGAAGACACCATGGCCAAATATTTAGCTCTCGCGCACACTCTCTTATCTAAATTCGAGAGCTACGAGATAAGACAAGTACCTCGCTCCAATAACGTCCATGCTGACAAATTAGCTAGGCTTGGAAGCTCCATGGCTGGCATCGGAAGTCGGAAGGTGACGCTGCTCACCTCACCTCAGCCAGAGATAACTTCACCCACTGAAGTGTAGTACACCGAGGAGGATGAACCATGCTGGTTCACTCCAATCCTGAAGCATCTCAAGAAGGGAGAACTTCCAGCGGATTCCACCGAAGCACGAAAGTTAAAAACGAGAGCCGCTCGCTTCGTCATACTGGAAGAAGAGTTATACAAACGAGGGTTCTCATTCCCTTACCTCAAGTGCCTCGACCCGACCACAGCGGATTACGTACTTAGAGAAGTACAAGAAGGCATCTGCGGAAATCATTTAAGCGGGAGAACTTTAGTTCTCAAACTACTGAGGCAAGGCTACTATTGGCCAACGATGCATGAAGACGCGAAGAAGTTAGTCCGGAAGTGTAAGCCCTGCCAAGAGCATGCAAATATCACTCACCTGCCAGCGGCATTAATGCAACCAATTGACAGCCCCATCCCTTTCGCCCAATGGGGGATGGATTTAGTTGGACCATTCCCGCCCGCCACATGAGGACGCAAATACCTCATTGTTGCAGTGGACTACTTCACCAAATGGGTGGAAGCTGAACCCTTAGCACGCATCCGAGAAGAAGAAGTCATCCAATTCCTATGGAAGAACATCGTCTGTCGCTTTGGAATCCCACGTTCCATTATCTCAGATAATGGAACCCAATTTTGCGGTGACAAAGTGAAGAATTGGTGCCTCGGCTTGGACATCAAACAATTCTTCACATCTGTAGCAAATCCACAGGCTAATGGCCAAACGGAGGTCACGAATCGCACCATACTCCAGCACCTCAAGACAAGGCTTGGAAGTGCCAAAGGGAAGTGGGTGGACGAGTTGCCTAACGCACTATGGGCTTATCGCACAACCCCACGAGCAGCAACCGGAGAGTCGCCTTTCAATCTAGCTTTCGGAACAGAGGCTATCGCACCTGTCGAAATAGGAGAACCATCTTGGCGAATCACCAACTATGACCCAGCAGCTAATGAAGAGGCTATGCGGGGAAGCCTAGACCTCGTAGATGAGTTACTAGAGATTGCATACATCCGACAACAGATGTATAAATCACGCATGGCCAAGGCATATAACTCAAAGGTCCGCCCTCGCTCCTTTCAAGTCGGAGATTTAGTCCTCCGAAAAGCTGAAGCCTCTCACCCCATCGGTAAGCTCGACCCAAAGTGGGAAGGACCGTATAAAATCACAAAGGTGGTCAACACTGGAGCATATCGCCTCGAGAACATTGATGGACACCCTATACCCAGAACATGGAATATAGGGAACCTCAAACGGTTCTACGCTTAAGGTATACATCTACCTTACTTCAGATCGGTTAAGGTCACCATCCATACCCCTTCTATATGAAAGTTACTTACAAATTGTCGCATCTGCAGGCTCCACGACCTTCCACGTAACTCGTCTTGTAAGCTGTTCCTAGATGGTTAGAAATTTTTCTACTACATAACCAGGTGCGTTAACATCCCACCTAAACTGGGGGGCTAGTAAATTTATTTTCACCAGCAATTCATCATCACATCCCACCATCTTATTACAGATTGAGATCCATTACGAGAGGATGCATCTTACTCAATCAACGGCCCAAAGAGCGAGAACACTCCATACCACATCGCTAATGGTAACTATACTTCCGCTAGCATTCAACACACGGATGATCTTATTTACTCCTACTAACGTGAAAAAATAATTCCACTAGCAGGCAATGATCGCATAGTAACTCGCAACAACTCACGAGTTGATTTCATATCTCGAAGTGCGAGGAAGAAAAAAATCCCCGTAGTATGGTACGTAGATCGGCAATGCGCATCCTCTCAGCTTCAATTACTAAGTCTTCAATACAAATGCTTAGACAAAATTCCTTTTTCTCAATTATATTTGACAGGCATAGAGACGCCAAAGGAATTCATTTTACCATCAGCACAGCAAAACGAATGAGTACAAGCAAGACGTGGAAGAAGAAGAACAAGTGTAGTACAATCACTTAGAACAATTTTTATCAAGTCAATTTTTTTTTTCTCGATCCACCAGTAGTTATTTACCTTCGCCTCACGTAGGCCTATCGCATTAGTCATTTAATTACATAGGCATGTAACAATTCTCCTTTGCTATCGTTGAATAAATTTCGCTTTACTATCTACGCCTTTACATCTATACAAATTACCTCTTACCATGAGTTCAAGTCAATACCACCCTACAAACACTTAGGCCCTGTTTGTTGAGCTCTTAATGAGCTCTGAACAGGCCTCTCCTCTTATTCGGTCAGCAATAAGCCATTTAGCGTGTTTGATGGACAGATCTGAATGAAACCAGTTTCCGCTGAGCGATTCAGTTTAAAAAATCTAACTTATTGATTAAGAGATACATCTGAATGGGTTTTAGACAAATCTATTCCCAAAAACTTTGAGCATTCTTTGACCTGTTGTCTCTCTCTTTCCTTTCGACAAACTGTGGATGGCAGAAAAGGGGCAAGACTCAAGTGGGGAGAAGACTGTTGTGGCACAATAAATTAAATGAAAGCTTTCAATTTTGACTTTTCATAAGAAATTGATTTTAATTAAATTATTTTTTATTGCATAAAAATGGTTCTCCTAATAAAAGACCTTCTACGAAAGCTTATAATATGGTAATTAGATTTATAATTTTTTATTGTAAAATTAGAATTACTAATAATTCAGCTGGTAAATAAATTTATGGATAGGGCTAATATAGTAATATTATATTATTCAGATCCTAAAGATGTCCAGTTATCAAATAAACTTACTCGTTCAGCATTCAGCATTCAGATATTACTCTTAATCATTCAGATATTTGTTCAGCGTTCAGCATTCAGTGCTTAATTTTATCAAACACACCCTTAGAGAGATTTAGATAATCCGTATAGCCTGGCCAGCTGGATTAGCTAAGTCCTTTTATTTGTTTCACGAGGTGTTCATTTTAAAACGTGGCCACGGACAAATATATTTAAGACCCAAGCGGTCCGAACTAAGGGCACGACCCTTCAATAAAACTTGAGAGACTGATCCCCTCCTCAAGTACATCGCGTACAATGCTAAATGTAAATACATATAAGCAGCGCATTAACTCTTGACAAAGTCAAAACAAATAATTCAAGATATCAAACTTCAAATGTCAAACAAGGAAAAAATTCAAACGAAATAGTAGAGGACATACCCATCTACATTAGCGAGAAAAATAAACTAAGACTCCAAACAAAAAAAAAATATATAAGTTTAACTATCCTAGCAAATAAATCTAAACTGCCCTACTGCGGGCGGAAGACGTCCCTACAGTGGAAGCAACCATATCAGCCACAAGCTCTGTGCCTGTCCCATCGACATCTACCTCATCATCCTCTCCATCTGAGATACCAGCCTCCATCCCTCGAATCACCTTCTCACTGATACCACCCGCATCGCGAAGATATTGGCGACAAGCACGCACTAATGGCTTATAGACCACAGCCAACGCATGCTCCTCAATCATAGCAGCACACTCATCACTACCTCGGAAGCTAAGCTTGGTTTCCTCCACGATGGACTCCCTATAAGCCGCACCACCTGATGTTGCGAGGAACCTCTTCCCCGTCGCCTTCTCGACTTCGTATTTCTCCTTCAGCTGATCATAGCACTCGTTCAACTTATGAACATCATCCTTATATGCCTTCGCGTCACCTCGGATAACCTCGAGCTCTTCTGTCCTTTGAGCAAGCTCTTCCGTCCGTTGAGCAAGATCGGACCGCGCTATCTCCAACTGGCTTAGAAGTTCATCCTCACGCGTCTGACTTCGAACTCGCTCCTCTTCCTTCCTAGCTTCCACATTCCTACCATGCTCCACGAGATATCTCCAAGTCGCTACCAACTAAAAAAAAAAAAAAGTTTTACACAAGGAAGAGAAAGAGTAACATTTAATCTGTTTTTAAATAAACAACACTCACCCGACATATGTCACCACCGGCTAACTCCAACATGTGAGAAGGGCCCTTACCAGACATCCGAGCACGGTCATACTCAAGAACGAATCCCTCGGTACTCAACATAGGCAGATCATGGTCCGACACATCCCAATACGACTCCTTACCGTCGCGATTCACACCATAGGTAAACAATTGTTTCCCTCCTCCACCATGGAAAGCATAAGTCTCCTCTGGGTCTACCCGGAGACGCTTAGGCACAGCGACATACTCAGTATCCACCCTCTTCCCCTTGCCACGATCCCTCTTCGGTGGACGCCCCTCCCCTTCACCAGCACTGCTACGGTCATCTGCGACTATTCGAGGAGTTTCTACATGGGTCTCCTCACGAAGCAAACCACTTGAAGAATCTCCCAACGTAGAGGGTAACTTCTTCGATGCCTTCTTCGACGTCCCATTCGCCTTAGCTCGAAGTGCCGCAAATGTGATACCCCCATCTACAAAAAATAACAAACACATAAGAAACATGAGGTATACACTACCAAAGAACTACAAAAAAAAAAAAAAAAAAAAAAAAAAAACACAAAACAAGGCAACAAAAGGATATACGATGCTGACCCTTCACCGTCGGTATCAAACCCCTCGGATCAAATTCCACATCACACAACCCAGATTCCTCAATCCTCTTCGCCATATTTGCAGTTATCGTGAAACTCTCACACGTAGGATTCCAAACTACGGGAACGTCAAACGTGGGAGCCCTCACATAAAAAAAATAGGTCTTCCATTTCCCCAAAGATAGCTTCACACTCTTCACGAATTGGTAAGGAACGCGAGGATGAAAATAAAAGAAAGGCATCTTGTTGGGCCGATGTAATGTAAATAACGCCTTAAATAAACTCACAGACACAGGCAGACCTACTCGAACCACCCTAAAATGAAACGCCTGGAACATCAGAACAGCAGTGGGCGTTAGCTGACTATACCCAATCTTGAATTCCTCACAAACCTTCAACAAGGTGGGATGCGGTGTAATCTCAGATGTGCACGTCAAGTACCCCAAAAATACCATATGAAACCCATCGGGTGGCGAATACAAGCGATCGTGTAACACCCTCCATGTTGTTTATATAATTAAGAACAATTTTTAGAAAAATGGACTTTATTAAAACTTTCGAATCCTATTTGATCCTTTAGAAAATAAGTTTGGAAATCGTTAAAGCATTTTTCTTTCTTCAAAACATAACCCACGCATGAAAGATAAAATTTTCATAAAGAGTGCTACTTAAACATGAACGAGGTTTTAAAGCAATACTTGTAATACAGCGGAAGATAAATAACTTTATTTTACATATACCCCGATTTAATAGACTAGATTCCTAAATCAGAGTACATTATAAATGTATTTATCAACTTTTCAATTTAAAACACTTTGAAAATGGAATGACTAATATAATCTTTAAAAACACTCGATTGACATAAAGGCTCGTGATTCCTCGAACTCCACTCCGCCAGCCTCCATAACCGTTTCGAGAACCTGAAAAGGGAAATTCGCATAAAGCGTGAGCCCAACCACTGGCTCAGTAAGAACTTTAGCCTGACGCACTCACGCCTCTCTCAACGTATCCCTCCGGACCTATGTGAGTCCTAAAGTCCTCGTCCATGTTCTCATTGTCTAAGGCTTTCACGTCATAATCATATTTACCTTATTCGTTATCATAAAATATGACATGAAATCGAGTTTCACATAATTTCATATAAGAGCACATAACACTCTCATACCTTATGGCCGAGAATGATTAAGCCTAATATCTGGATCAGCAATTCACATATCACGTTAGAATTCACATAGCATATAGTCAAACTTATTACTTTACGGATAAACACATAATAACATTTACCTCAACCTCGACATGGACGAAAAGTTTCCCTGCTTAACGTATATTCACAAGGTTTACTCACGTAAACAAAATGTTGTATTAACATGGGGGTGCAACAACCCAATAGCTGTAGCACATATAGACATAAAGTCCCTATAGTCTGTATTAACAAATTTAAACACATAGATGCAAATGCAATGGGATCCCTATCAGATTCATAACATGGTTATCGGTAATAGACGTCGATATTCTGAGCCCGTTCTTAGTGGGAGCTACCCACTCTATAGTCTATAGTACTGTACTTGGAATACCGGCCCCTCCGTATTCCCGTGTCTACTCGACCGATAGCCATATTAAGATTCTGACTTTCCTATACTTGACCGTGCAATACCATAAATGACAAATCATTCGACTCCAATCATATAACAATGTGAGATCGAACTTGCACTTATCATAATAAACACATAACCATATAACTAACAAACATATTCAAAGAGTTCCTTATTCAAATAACTCACATGATCAATAAACACATGAATAAACATTTTCATAATTCATCAACATCGTGTCATCACAAATATCATTCAACGTACATGCATCGCATACAATAGGTATCACATACAAGAGAAGGGGATTATCATATTATTTCATACAACCACTTTCACAGTTATAACATACCAATGTAATTATCTTAAATGCATCATCCATACGTTTTCTAGGTTATACATTTATGTTAACGTATAAGCATACGATAACCATAATAGCACATACACACATAATACATGAAATTCAAATCCACATACTTCATTCCAAAAAGTTATAATGAAATCGTATCAACTTTGCAATCTGATCAGATCAAGGTTTCAAAACAATTTACAATTATACCTTAATAATCAACTCCAAATTAATTAAACGAACCTATACTCTTATCAGTCCTAAATCAATCGAGAGGTATCCTTAGATAGAACTATGTCCTCTAAATAACGTCCTAGCAACTCATTTCATTCATAATACTCTATTATAGAAAATCTGGCAGCCTTGATACTTCAACTTTGAAAATTCATATCTCTTAAACCGTACATACAAACCTTATGAAATTATCACAGAACGTTCACATATAAGTGAATTATATTACATTAAAACAGTTCAGTAAAATACCAATCCATGGGAGAGGAATAATTAATTTAGTACAGCAACACCAGCAGAATTTCAGAACAGAGCACTCCACTTTACAAATACTAAATAAATCATTCATTCAACCAAACACCATGAAATTTAGCTGAGAATCAGTTTTATAAGTCTATAATCATATTCAGTTAGAATCGCATGAATCAAAACAAGATAAAATCTAATTTAACACATAATCCATAGATGACTCAGAAATCGTGCAGTTTCGGAAAACGTTTCATAACTAGATCAATATAATTCCGATTTACGCATACCATGTATCAAAACGAAGCTAACAGAAACATCTACATGCACGATTAATTTTATAATTTTCAGAAAATAAATCATTGATGAAACATGCACTGGAAGCTGAGTCTACGAATCTGAAATTCGAACTAGGGTTCATTGAAATCTATATTTCTTGACCTGAATCCCTAAATCCGACTCCTAAGCATATTAGTCAATTAAAACACATAAACATCATCTTATTATTTATCATTGATTCAGTAAAGACTAAAGTCCTTACCTCTTTGAAGAAAATCGAATATAAGGAAGAAGGGGCAACCGAAGGATTCTCGGAGCTTTGGCTTGAAGGCTTTTGGGGCTGAACTTGGATCCTCTTGATAGTTTGGGGGATTTTATAGGGAAATTAATCCCATTAATTAGATATCAAACTTCCCAGAGAAAGGAGGGGAAATTTGATGAGTTCTCGAGAAGGGGATTCTGCTTTTGTGTGTTAGCTGTCGTGACGTGAGAGGAGAAAGAGTGAAGGGATGTCGTAGGGAAGTTGGGAGTAAAAGAAGAGGAGTCTTCCTTGGTTGACTCAAAGTGGAGAAAAAGAGATTTATGTGTGTGTGGGTTATGCTGCCGTGAAAAACGAGGAAAGGAAGAAAGAGGTAAATGGCAATTTACAAGCTTATGCTTGGAAAGTCTTGAGAAATTTACATGAGGGCTATTATGCAATATCTAAAACCATGGGGGTCCTAATAGCAATTCAGAAAATAGGTTATATACTAGACTACATACTTCAAACACACACGGCACATACATGGCAAATATACACAATTCACTAATAGATATATCTATACTTATTAAATCATAAAATAATTAGAGATAAATTGCATAGATTAATCACCACATCATAACTCACCTAGCATATATATATACTCACAACATTCACATATATGTATCTACATTCATTAAACCATGAATCGTAAAACAATTAAAGATACATTGCATACATTAATTCTTCAATTAAAGCACATAATTCATTTAATCACATTACTTAATCATCTAATCAAATCGAGTCGATCGCACATTTAATCAAATATTATGAACCACATAAACAGTTAGGATGCAATAAACTTACACTTGTTAATTCATGAAATGGACATTATCGATTTACTCAATATAATTTCATATAATATGCTTATGAAAATGCGGGGCGTTACAGATCGCCCTTCCGAGGCAACAACAACTCCACATTACTCGGCGCTCCGGATAAACGGCGAATAGAATGCAAATGCTCTTCCGTCAATACACTATCAAAATTAACTAAGTCCAAATTAATTGGCCTATTTTTCTTTTGCCTCCTCGTGTCAACCTCAACATCACCTGGCGGAATATCATCTTCCTCCTCCTCTTCATCCGTCAGCTCAACTTCACTACTTGTCACCGCATGATCACTCACCAAAGAAGCTTGATTCGAATCATCACTATCGCTCCCAAAATCAACGACTCGACGCCCAGAGCGACGTCTACTGGTATCCGCTTCATCAATAGTAGGGCAAATATTAATATTGTTACGCACTTCTACATCGTCACTCCACGATTCAATGATTTCTCGTCGTCCAAAACCCCCCCCCACTCACACCATCTTCGACATCGATGCGCTCCCCGCTTCGCCTGACCCCATCACGTGAATCGCGTCGAAAAACAAGCTCGGACGCGCTCCCACGCGCGCCCGGCACTCCGGAAGACGCGCTGCCACGCGCGCCGTTTCCCTCCACTAACGTGCGTTCACGCGCAGGACCCCCAACCACTCCCCACGCGCGCGCGTCGTCCTCGGCCTCCGCGCCAGACGCGCGCGCGCGTCGCCCCAGCAACTCTCCACTACCGCGCTTCTCTGATCTGCCAAGTGGACGAATGGCGCGCGCGCGTGCCGCCACGCCATCATCCGACGCGCGCGCTCCTCCCTCTTCTACCCCCTTTGACGCGCGCGCGCGTACCTCGTAAAACGCACCCGACGCGCGCGTCATCTCAGCATCAGCACCCTCTTTCCTCTCCTCGGAAACCGTGCACGGCTCCAACTCAGTGGCTCGGCTCGGCTTCGCTGCACCCTCTCCCATAACAATACATGGAGGTGCACGGTTCGAGCCATCCCCCTCGGCCAAGCCACGATTAACACTATTTCTCCCCTCAATTCGTGCTCCACCTACAGGAGATCCGATTTTGGCACCCGGTATTACAACCGTACCAAAAGGTTTCTTGCCCCCTTCAACCGGATCTCGAAGATCCCGAGTTCGACATGAGAAAATTTTTTCCCGAAGAAATAATCAAGAAACAAAAAATTTCTACTCTACCGCAAAAAAAAAATGAAGAGAACAATAGCACATAAGAAGACTTAGAATTAAAAGTACATACCCATATTTATTACGCAGGAGATGAAGTTTATTTATTTCCACCGCAAAAGGATTCTATTTATCTGACCCTGGTATATTATTTAACACCCTTAAATATATACCCCGCTGCCAAATAAATACAATTATCCCTTATTTAAATTAAGGAATTAATTCACCACCAACGGAAACAATTCAATCCCCGACGCAATTAACTCTCGACACGACCCGGATCCCTCTACACAAGTCCCCATCTCGAATCGAGAGTTGGGGGGCTTAATGATGTACCTAAATGGGCCGGCCCAATGGGCCCTCAAATATATCTACTAATTAGGCCCACTACACGAAAGCCCAAATACCTTCAAGGTAAGGCTTGGGCCCAACAAAGTAAGCCCAATCCAATCACCGAAATATAAATAGGTGTTTTACTCATTTGTAAAGGTACGTTCTGATTATTCACAATCAATCTCGAATATTATTCTCTCAGCTATCTCTACGATCCGTACATCTGCCTTGAGCGTCGGAGGGGTTTCCGCCGGATCAACCCCCGGCTTAGTTCATGTGTGCTCTTTTCGCAGGGACCTCAGGATCATCAAGTTATCAAGCTGCTGATCCGCTTTGCTCTCCCAACTCATTTTCTACACCACCCTAGGTGAGCTATATTTTAGTATCATCACATCGTATGAAATGTCGTTAAGAATTAGCCACATAAGGAGAAATACAATTCAAAATAAATTAATACGAACTTATGTACATGTAGCTCTGTAAACAATACTTTCTTCTGTTCCTCGGGTTCTCTGATTTAGCTTCCACGAAAAATTTAAAGAAACTATGCATAAATAAAAATAAGCCGACCAATATCAAAAGTCCAGCAAACAGAAAAGCATTCTCAAATTTCATAGATATATACATGTGTACTTAACTTTCTTATCTTACATTTCTGGGCAACTTAATTACTTTTTTCAAATATCTTCAAGTGGAGATGTTATAATGATGGTGCAATCCAACACAAGTGAGAAAATTTTAGGGTTTTGTTTGGAAATTATGTATCTTTTTCGCCTTTTCTTTATTATCTAATTTATATATTTTTTCACTTTTTTTTTGTTTAGAATTAAAAGTTATTATTAAAAACTCATTAGATGTAAAATTCAACAGCCAATTTTAAAGAAATGGTACAATGTACTTTAATTTGTAAAACACAACATAGAGGATTTTCTCCTAATTTTTCTAAGATACGAATTTATTTGACAATTTGAAATTACAAAGCGAGTTTTGTGCTATTAACTCGATCTTTTTTTTTTTTTTTGAAAAATGTAATTTTATTAGGTAATATGAGCCAAAAACGAAGGCAAAACTACGCCCTCATTACAATCGAAACCATAGTTCTTCGCAATAGCGTGAGCAAGCAAGTTACCCGATCGCTTTACAAAAACGAAATTACATAAAGTAAACTCCCTAGCTAAAGTTAAGCATTCCCTCAAGCAGAGCACCAAATGAAGCTTCAGATGATTTATTTTCCCAGAGAGCAGTAACAACCTGTAAATTATCCCCTTCCAGCATGATAGATGAACACCTGTTCGTCGGAGCTGATGTAATTGCATATAATGCCGCATGGGCCTCTCCGTCCACCACTTTCGGACGTCCATGGGCCTTTTTAGCACTCCACCACACACACGAGCCTTGAGAATCACGAGCTACATTGGCCATCACATAATAATTCACCCCTATAGGAAATGCAACGTCATAGTTTATTTTCACCACTCCATCTTCTGGAGGTTTCCAAACAGCAGGATGGATTCCCTCTATTACCGGTACAAAGCGAATTTGGTTCTGCTGGAAGTTACTCAAATAGTCGAGACACCAACTAACTATGTTTCCAGCATGAAGTTCGTCCTCCCCATGAGCCACCTTATTCCAATTATCCCACAATTTCCACATAACAACTACAGACAAATGGAAAATACCTGGCGAGAGTCGTTGGTGAAGATGCTCGATCCAGGCCCAAGTCGACGGTGGTTGATCATCAATAATAGTATCGAAGGGATGGGAATTCCAAACCTGACTTGAGTTGCCGCATTTAGTTATAACATGAAGAAAAGTTTCGTAGTTGGTTCCACAACGTCGGCAACTAGGATTGACAACAATCGTTCGGCGGAAAAGCTCTGATTGAGTTGGCAATATGTTCTAGCATGCTCGCCACAAAAAGACCTTTATCTTAGGTGGAATAGGGAGATTCCACACCAACTTCCAGTTTCTCTTTACCACTCTGCTGCCAGATCCAACCTGAGATATGCCACTAGATCGAACACCAAAACTCGGCGAGAGCAGGCTGTGGTAGCACGATCGAACTGTAAACTTTCCATTCTCGAAAAATGCCAGACCCATCTATCCACCGACGAGGAGCAGCCAATCGGAACCGCCAAAATCCTATCTCTATCTACTGACCAAAAATATTCATCAAGGAGGGCCGGGTTCCAAGAACGAGAGGTTGCGTCAATAATGTCCGAGACTCTATTCGGGAAAGCACAATGAATTGGTCTTGTCGTAAGCACTTTAAAAGTACCATCATCTGTAAGCCATGGGTCCGACCATATTGAAGTAGATCGCCCATCCCCAATTCTCTTTCTAATGCACGAGAAGAGACACTCTCTAGCCATCCATAAGCTCCTCCATGTGGCTGAAGGGCGCCTCCCCAGTTCCGCTGTCAAAACATCTCCATGGGGAAAATAGCGTGCTTTCATAATTTTACATAGGAGCAGATCGGGTTGGGTAAGAATCCTCCACACATTCTTGGAAAGAAGAGCAATATTGAAGCATTTCATGTTCCTGAATCCTAAACCGCCAGCATCCTTTGCCTTACAGAGTCGATTCCATGCCAACCATGCTAGCTTCCGATTCTCACCGTTACCTCACCAATACCGTTTAATTGCTCTTTCAATCTCCTGAAGAATTTCATTCAAAAGAAGAAAACAACCCATAATATAAGATGAGATTGCTTGAAGTACAGCTTTAATTAACACCTCCTTACCCGCTTTTGATAAAAATTTCTCACCCCAACCCTTTATCTTAGCCCCAATTCGGTCCTGAAGATACCCAAATATTTCCTTTTTCGTCCTTCTGATACTTGCAGGCAGACCCAAGTACTTTTCATGTCGATCCACAATTTGGAAATTGAGAATCTGGTATATTGTAGCTTTACGCTCCTGATTCGTAGATGGGCAAAACATCATTGTGGATTTTTCGTAGTTGATCTCTTGCCCAGATGTGCGAGAGTATATGTTTAGGATGGACCGGAGGGTGGCAGCACTTGAAACTGTGGCATGGCAAAATACAAGCGTATCATCTGCAAAACAAAGATTTGAAATAAATGGAGCTAACGGCGCCACCTGAATTCCTTGAAGCTCGCCACGATCACTTGCTCTCGTGATCATTGCAATCAAAGCTTCTGCACAACAGATAAAAAGATATGGGGAAAGAGGATCTCCTTGACGAAGGCCTCTCGAAGGGTTCCAAGAGCCAACTGTGATCCATTGAAAAGGAAAGAGTAAGAGACAGACGATACACACATCACAATGAGATAAACAACGAGAAAGGGATACCAAACCGCACAAGAATTTTTCGTAAAAAAAGCCATTCAATCCGATCGTAAGCTTTACTTAAATCCAATTTAATTGCCATATAATTGCTCGTACGCTTAGTGTTCATTTGAATAAAATGGTTCACCTCATATGCAACTAGGACATTATCCGTGATAAGCCGTTGTGGCACAAAGGCGGATTGGGTAGGCGATATCAATTCATCTAAAATAGGTTTCAGACGGTTAGCAAGAATTTTAGACCCAAATTTATATATCACGTTGCACAAGCTTATGGGTCGATAATCTGTCATTTTTTCAGGCTGTTTAATTTTAGGGATAAGAACAATGAAAGTAGAATTAAAGGGCAGGGGAAGACTCTTATTATTAAAAAAATTCAAGTACACAAGAGGTCACATCAGATCCTAAAATATGCCAATATTTGGAAAAAAAAAAGCAAAAGGCAAGCCGTCGGGCCTGGGGATTTTAGTGGAGCCATTTGGGAAATGG